CACAGCAAGTATCACCTCTACCTGATGCAGGAGCTGAAGATCTGGATCGTACCATTGAATACCCAGAAGCTGGAGATCAGAACCAGGCGAGCGAACACCCTGAAGGCTCTTTGGACGACACCATCGACCACAAGGATCTTCAAGTCTCCAGATCTGTCACACCATTTCCAATCTGGTGGGTTTCTCCAGCAGAGTATTCATTCGATGAAGTTCATGATGACTATGCAGCAGATTACATGAACCATGCAATTCACGATGCAGAGCTTCTCTTGCATCAAGCCCGAGTCGAGCAAGCTAGCACCTTACCTTGGCACGAGAAGGAGGCTCTACTGGTTGTTCCAAGCCCTTTTCGTACCTCACGCTGTTTCTACTACGATTTCAAGGATGATGAGTGTTTCAGCGTATCCAGCAGCGAGATCCTCACTCCAGAGGAGATCATCGCGCATTGGCCAGCGGTCGAAGCAGCAGACAAGAAGGAAGTCACTAGCTTTGTATCTCACGGCATCTTCAAGCTCGCACCAGCATCAGACTCCGACAACACTATTGATGGCACGTGGGTTCGGAAATGGTCAGATCGTTCGAAAGGACTGGTGAAAAGCAGATGCTGTGGACGAGGCTTTCTTGATCGACAGAAGAACAGCATTGACAGACACAGTTCGACAGCGTCACGGCTTTCTCACCGCTTGGCAGTATCTCTTGCAGCTCAGTACGACCTCGTGATCGAGAGTCTAGATATCAGCACGGCCTTCTTGCAGGGCCTCAAGTTTTCTGAAGTTGTGCGCCGGGCAGCTGAGCTGGGACACGAAGTTAAGCAGCTTCGGAAGGTCTGGTTCAAGCCACCTCCAAACGTTTGGAGGGATCTCCGCAACATCGACGGCAGTGGCATCTATGTGCAGGACCATGACATAGTCTACTTCGTGCTTGAACTATTGAAGGCCATGTACGGACTCGTTGACGGTCCTCTTTTATGGCAGCTAGCACTGGCGAGCTTCATGGTCAAAGAGCTGAGCTTCATGAGCGCCTACCATGATGAGAATTTCTTCTACATCACCCGCGGATGGGAGATAGTGGCGATCTACATCACTCACGTTGACGACATCCTGACGATCGCGTCTCAGAGCTTCTTGGACAGGACCTACATACGATTGTCAGAGCGTTTTGGCACAGTCAAGAGGTGCGTTCTTCCATTGATATATGCTGGAGTTCGCCACTCTATGCCATCACCTGGACATTACTTCCTGGACCAAGAGCACTACCTGATGAAGTTGACTCCAGCGAAGGTAACCGACGCTAAGCGACTCAAGAATGACAGCCTGCCCCTGAACAAGGACGAACACAAGGAGTTCCGTTCGTTGCTGTGCAGTCTCTTGTGGGTCTGCTTGACGCGTGTGGATCTATGCCATGGAGTTGTACTTCTGCAGAGCGAGATGGTCAGCCCTCTTATGACACACCTGAAGCAGTGCAACGCCCTGTTGGCCCGCGCTATTAAGAGCAAGACGATGAATGGACTTCACTTTCACAAGCTACAGTGGCCTCTACGACTTGTATCCATCAGAGACGCAGGACATGCATCAAAGAGGTCAGGTTACCCTTTTGAAGGCAAGATCGTTGAGCTCATGAGCGAGCCCAAGGTGCAATATGATAATAAAGAATGGTGGCCTGTGACAGAGGCATTGGATTTCGGAGGATATGGTCATACTCTTTATTTCACAGCAAGAAAAGCATCACGAGTGAGCCACAGCACTTCCCATGCTGAGACGAATGCATGTGTTGGTGGACTTCAAGTGGCGCAACTTATTTCATCGAGAACGACGCGGTGACAGACTGTATGGACCTCTTCGAGCTGATAACGGGAGCCAGAGGACTGATGACAGATAAAACCCAGAGGATTTCAGTGATGCCTCTCCGAGAAGATCGTTTGACAGGAAGGTTTCGCAGAGTGACTCACGTACCGACATCAAGTATGTTGGCCGACGGTCTGACGAAGCTTGGAGTTTTCCCGCAGTTATTACTGAAGTGTACGACACAGGATTGTGGAAATTGCAAGTACAAGATAACAAGTTCATCAGGATCAAGCCCAGCGTGGTCAAGCCGGACAACAGCGAGCAGGATTTATTGGACAGTGATGATCTACGGCATGATAAGTACCTGAAGATAGACGACAACATCTACGATAATATGATGATGATGTGTGAGGCCGGGATCGCTCCACGCTCCGCTTTCTGATTCTAAGTAGTCAAGAGAACGGGTAGCAGAGTAAAGATATGGTTGTACAGACCTCGTTAGACTACTGTTAGTTGTGTTTTACGTAGTAAGCTTAGAGCAAGCATGGACAGATGAGCAGTGAAACGTATGTCACGTACTGGCTCAAGTCTGAGAAACCAACTCTCCCCCTCCCCCTCCCCCCTCCCTCCCCCTCCCCCTCCCCCCTCCCCCCCTCCTCCTCCTCCTCCTCCTCCTCCTCCTCCTCCTCCTCCTCCTCCTCCTCCTCCTCCTCCTCCTCCTCAGCTCCTCAGCTCCTCAGCTCCTCAGCTCCTCAGCTCCTCAGCTCCTCAGCTCCTCAGCTCCTCCTCCTCCTCCTCCTCCTCCTCCAGGGCACCTGCTTTCCACGCGCGCGGCGGCAGGCGGCTGAGGCGCACAAAGGAGGCGGGCTGAGGCGGCAGGCGGCCAGGGGCGAGTCCGGGAAGGCGAGGCTCCCAGGGCAGGGAAGGGGCTGAAAGCACGGCAAGCGTCAGGATCGGGGACTGGGACTTCCGCACCTCAGTGGACCAACAGGTTCAAAGGAGCTGGCCAAAAGGTTCGGCGTGAAGGCGTGGGCCGCGCTCTACGACAGGGCGAAGACAACCGGTGGAGCGCCGGAGAGCTCGACTGGGTGCTTTGGCATCGGGTGCCGGCCAGGAGGAAGCGGGGCGGCAGCGCAAACGCTGGGCTGAAGCCTAGCAACGTTTTTGGTTTCACGGCCCGGCTTACGGCCGAAGTGGTAGGGAGACGCCTGCCACCTCCATGGGCTACCTTTTTTTTGTTGTTCTCTCTCTCTCTCTCTCTCTACCTTTCCTTTTCTTCGCAATGGACCACGTGGTGAGCAGCACCAGGCTATACGACATAGTCAATTGCATGGTGCACGATTTGGAAACCAGGGACGTTCCATGGCCCATAGCTTGGGTCATGGGGCTGTACCGTCCCAAGCACAGATGAGTTGGTCGGCCGCTTCCCATCAAAAGCACTCGATGCCAGATGTAATCACATTCTATCGTAGAGTACGATGGTCGTGGCAGTTGCGGGGAGAACGGGGCCCATCGTAGCAGTCTGGTACCCGCGAGCAGAGACAGCCCCATATCCACACAGACTCGATCCAGCCTTGCAGGGGTGGCTGAACGAACTCCACCGCAGTATCGACGCAGCGGCGGATAGGTGTCTGAGGGCGCACACGTCCAGCCGTTTTCTCTTCAACATTCCCGTCAACCGCGTCGGGCTGAGTTCCTGAAGGAGCTGCTTGTGGTTATTCCGTGTGACAAGGAGGCAGGGCACGTTTCAGAACCGATTGGTGTTAGCAAACGTATCCACGCCGACATATAGGTTCGCCCGACGTACGCGGACGTCCCAGTGGAAAATGTTGGTGGACAGGTGAACGCATTGTGTCTTGCACACGCACGCCTATGCGCACGTGTGCAGGCTTTCTTGCGCGAAAGGTTCGGAGAACAGTACAGCGAGTTCGGGAAGGATCTCAGGCGGTCGCTGCTCATAGGGTCCCGCACGACGTGCAAGCTAGAGATTGCGTGCAGACCCACAAGGGGCTGGAACAGTAAAACGCAGGAGCCTAGACACAGTTTGCAGGCACACATTTCTTGGCTTAGGCGTTTGGCTGGGCGGTTTCTTACCTGGCGGAGCGGTGGCATATTTTGAGCGGCGCGCATGAGCTTGTCCAGCGGCTGCGGAATGTAACCCATATCGGGGTGGAATATTAGAGGCCTCTTGGCGCCCGTGGCGGCCTCCTGAGGCGAGAAGATGCGCCACTGAAGCAAATATATCGAAACCACGTTGTTCCCGAATCAGGTTTTGCCTAGGCCTCGGGGGGTCCCTGGGGTTCCCAGAAATTCGGTGGCGCGTGCCTTCGCTCCCTCCACGATAGCAGCGCCAGTTAACCCCACCGAACGTAGTAGGCGTCCTGAGGAGCACCCATTATACATCTGCGCGAATTATTGGGAACACCAGCGCTTGCTACTATGCCATAAGTATGTTGGTGCTTGCGCGGCCAGAAAATCCGCACCCCCCGCCGTCCCCACCCCTGCCTCCCATCCTCCCGCCGTGCCTCCGCCCTTCGCACCACAGTTCGCCCCTCCTCGCGATGCCTTGCCCACCTTGCCCTCCTCCTCCCCCCCCCCTCCTATTGCCCGCTCCCTCCCTCGCTCCCCTGTCGGCTCTGTCGTTTCTTCCGTCCCCCCCCCCCTTCGTGCCGAAAAGTACGCCTGGTTCTCCTACGGAGCAAAAGGGAGAATGAGGAGGGCAAAGAGGAGACCCAGTGTAAACCCAGAACGCATCAACGATGTTGCAATAAAACATCACCCCCCTCACCCCAAGTTCCTTTTTTCATAGGTTTCTACCTTAATTCATTTTCATTGCAGGAAGTGGTTCTAAAAGCAAGGATGTCGCTTTCCCAGATTTCGAGAACGGGAGATGCTTCGCCTGGACCAGAAAAATAAAATGAAACCGTAGTTTGTTGTTGGAAAATGGTCTACCCTCCATCTTTGAAGCTGATGTAACTTTTACGCTCCAGTACCATGAATGGTGAGGAAGTCTCAGGCGAATTGCCCGGCCCAGCCTACGGACACGCCTGAGGGTCCGACAGGGAAGTATTGTCTGTAAAGAGCAGGGGTGAAGGAGGAGCAATACCACAAACAGCAGCTATCAGCGGCGGGAAGTGCAGAGACGGAGGGAGAGATGTGAGGAGACCCAGCCTATCCAAGTGCATGCACGAGCAAATGCGCAGCCATGCTGGGACATAAACTTGAAACGGTGCAGGTTTGCGGCAGGATTTGAATACGCAAGGGATCGTTGGATTGCGCTTCGGTGCGTTCCGGATTGCGGTCCCTGAGGTGTGGCTGCGGCGTCATGTGACGCGCAAGGCGTAATTCGGCAATGCGTACGTACTTCTGCACGTCTCTGTCTGCAAGTCATTCGCGGAAGCTCTGGAGGCTTGGCGACGCCGTAAAGGTTCACATTCCTCCCCCTCTTCTTTCGACTGTACTGCTGCGGCGGCTACCCCTCCTCTTCCCCCGTCATGATCCTCACCCTCGTCCATCCCTCCTCCTCCTCCTCCTCCTCGTCCTCGTCTCCCCCCTCCATGTTCCACATTACCTGCTCCCTACTTTCCCCATCCTTCCTCATCCTCTTCTTGCTCCTCCTCCGCGTCCTCGTGTTCCTTTCCCTTGCCCTGCTCCTCCTCATCTTCCTTTTTTGAGCTCATCATCCCTCATACGTATCATCACAGTTTTGTTCCTCATCCTTATCCATTTTGCCTCCCCCTCCCGGATCACACTCCGTTTGTGTTTCATGTTTCTTCTTTTGAGCAGCCATCACCATCCGCGATATGTTTTCGCTCCTCACTGCTCAGCTTTCTGCCCTCATTTCATGTCGACTGATTGGTTGACCTGGCCCATGGCTGGGCGACACGCGTGCGTCACTCCCGCGCTGCTACAAAAACATTCCCCGATAGAGCTGCACGGCAAGATGCAATGCACCGCGTCGGTCCCAATGACGGATATGGCCAGCGCTTTAGCGAGAGCACCATTCCCGATCAGGGATGTGGCCAGTGCAGGAGCGAGAGCACCGTATCCAATCAGGGATGCGGCCCTCGTTCAGGCAAGAACGCAGTTCCCAATCAGGGATGCGGTAAGAGCGCAGGTGTCACGCTCATTTCGCGTGGGCCAAGATGGGTGTCACCAGGATCCAGTCCTGGTTCGGGAGGGGAGGGGTGTTCCCTTTTTACGTACTTCATCCTGCCTCCTGCTTCAATCATATGTTCTCATCCCCTTAGCCGTCCCTCCCTCTGTTCTTTATTGAGCCGCTTCGCTCATTCCGCTGGCCCGTATTGCCATCGCTGGCATTTGCATGCGCGTCCGCGGGCCATGGGCCATGCGGCGCTGCTGGTCGCCGCTGCTGCGATTGTGGGTGAGAGTCCTCGTGGATGCTCTTCGTGGTGTCTCTTCGGAGGGTTCTCGGGGGGCTCCTGTGTGGCAGTTTTAGGAGCTCCTGGGGGCCTCCTGGGAGCGCCTTGGATGCCTCTTTGGGCTCTCTTGGCGCCTCTTGGGGGTCTCTTGGACCCTCTCGGGGGGCTCTTGGGGCCCGCTTGGGGCTGCTTGAGAGTTCTTCAGAGGCCTGGGGGGGGCTCTGGGGGCGAGTTTGAAGCCGAGCGCTCGAAACGTCCGTCGGGGCTCCTCGAGGGGTCTTCTTCAGGGCGTCTTGGGGCTCTCCAGCGCCGTCCTGGGAGAAACTTGGGCCGTCTTGGAGTCTCCGTGGGCCGCTTTGGGGCTCTCTTGGAGCCATCTTGGAGGCTGAATGGGCCGTCTTGGAGCCATCCGAGGGGCTGATTGGGCCGTCTTAGAGCGACGACGGCCGAAAAGGTGAGAACGCTGAAAGCCTCCAACAACAAATGGAGCATCTCAGAATTGTGTCTCGAGGGGGCTTCTTGGGAGTGGTCTTGGAGGCATCTTCGGGCGTCTTGGAGGCGGTTGAAGCCGTTTGGAGGCTATCTTGGGCATCTTGGAACGACTTCCGGTGACCCTAGGCCCTCTCAGACCGCCTTGGGGGCCTCTTGAGACGCTCTTGACGGCCCTGAAGGCAGCCCCCGGGAGTTCGGCATCCGTGACGGAGGTCTCGGGGACCGCCCCGGATTTTGGTGGCGTACTCTGCGCCTGGGAACCCCCAGGGGCAGCCACGCGCGCGCGAACTAGAAGTATTCTACAGCCGCTACCAGAGGTTTTAGCTCGCCTTTGGTCCGTTGGGGTGTCGACTTTGTCACTCTTCGCTGCTCCCCACCAGCCCACTCAGAAACGCTGCCGATGGGAGCTGTTCTTCTTGAGGTCATTTGGAAGATCAGAATCCGTTAGACCACCTACGCCCAGAGAGCTGGTGGGATTGATGCTCCTCCCTGACCCCTCCTTCCTGCTTCCACTTTCCGCCTTCGCCTTCTTCTTCTTCTTCTTCTTCTTCTTTGCTATACTCCCATATCTGAGGGGATGCGCCCTCTGCCGATGACCCTCTGAGCCGAGCCATCTTGCGGCTGCAACGAGAAACGTGCGACGGGTGCTGCGCACAAAGTCTGCGCAAGAGGTGATGGGGGCAACGACAAGCTGGGGAGGCCCAGTGCGTCCGCGCCCAGCTGATCGAAGGTGGAGCTCCACCTCCTCCTCCTCCTCCTCCTCCTCCTCCACCATTACGCAGTATGAATACTACTCTCCCTCTTCCCCTGATGACGGCTTGGGAGTGTCCGACCCCCCCCCCGCATATTGTTTTTTACACACAGGTTTCCCCGGAGTTGGGTTTTCGCTTGCATTGTTTTCCAAAATGCTGCTCTCGCTGAGGCGCCGGCCTCATTTTCGGGCCCCGCTCGTTCCGAATCGTGCTGGCGCTGGCCTCATTTTCGTGCTTCCGCTCGTTCCGAATCGTGCTCCCGCTGCAGCGCTGGCCTCATTTCCGCGCTTCCGCTCGTTTCGACTCGTGCTCCTGCTGCAGCGCTGGCATCATTTCCCGTGCCCTGCCACGGCATGCAATGCAATGCCAGGTTGATGCTACGCTTTGCGGTGCTCTTCTACGCCATGCCATGCCGCGCTTTACAATGCATCGCGCTCCCTTTCGGGATCATTGCCCTGCTCGACATCCGACCGACCGAGCACAGAGGGGATCTGCGCCATGGTAAGGGATGGGAGGGAGGGGTAGGAGGTCAGATATGACGCGAGCGCACCTAGCTTGTCCCCCTCCCCCTCCCCCTCCTCCTCCTCCTCCTCCTCCTCTTGAGGCGTCCGCGCTCACGGAGGCCGCAGGGGTGCAGCTCGCCACGACGCCTGTGCGAGGGGTGCGCCGAAGAATGGGCGGGGGGGGGGCCTCCTGCGTCCGCGCCCACCGAGGCCGTATAGGTGGAGCACCCCGCCAAGCAGAGAGATTAGGCAGACTTGTCAGGGTGCTGTGGGAAGCGCGTTGGCGCGTGCAAAAGCCAATCTCACGTTGATGACGCTCGAAAGCAACGACATTGTTGTTGGATCACGCGCCAGACGCGCGGGAAGGAGGGGTGAGGGAGGAGGCCGTGAACGACTCTCTGACGCTGGCGGTTTTTGGCGATGATGGGGGACGGTGACGATGGAGCGGGCGTTGACGACGACGAATACGACGACGATGACGTTTCTGCTGATGACGGTTATGATGTGAATAGGCGGATGATGGTGGTAGTGATGATGATGGAGATGATGATGATGACGATGATGATGATGATGATGATGATGATGAGGCGGAGGAAGATGATGAGGATGATTCGGATCACGATAATGATGACAAGTATGAAGGTGCGAGCGAGGACGAGGCCAAATATGGAAAGGGAAGAGGAGGAGGAGGAGGAGGAGGAGGAAGGAGGAGGGAGGAGTGAGACGCGGAGCGCTGCGGATTCAAAACGAGAACCCAACTCCACGGGATGATCGGGAATATCAATGTGAAGTAAGACGCGGACGGATTCGCAGGCTCGCAGGGAAGGGCTGTAACGAGAAGGGGAGGAAGAAGTATCATAAACTATAGAACGAAGAAATTGAATATAACGAAGATGCGTGCAATTGGATCACGGGCGTAGGTGTCTCGTCATCCTCTGTCTCTTTCTTTCTTTATTGTTATTTATCCTTTCTCTACTTATCATGATTCTTGGTGGCTGATGCTGGGCTGCCCAGTCGTGCCGGCCGCTCCCCGCTTAGGGAGTCGCCCCAAGCCCGTCTTGTCCAGCCATACCAGCCATCATCGCCAACCACTTGATCATTTTCATTTGCGGTAAGGCCGCCTTCAGAAGCCAGGGGAGTGTTTGGGATGATTGGCACTTCACCCGCGCCGTGTAGCTCCTTGGTGTCCTCCCCTGTTCCTCCTGCCTTCCAGGCGCCAAAGATGCAATGTGGGATGTTTTGTATATGCCTGAATTCGCATGGTGATTCTTTGCTCCAGCTCGGTGCTTTCTCTCCTCCTCCTCCGCTTCCTCCTCCTCCTCCTCCTCCTCCTGCTCCTGATATTTCTCTTCCTCCTCCTCCTCCCCCTCCTCCTCTTCCTCTTCCTCCCTCTCGTAGCGTACGCTGTAGGCTCGCCCGTATCCGGATCCAGCGTCCCTGGATTGCCAGTGTTTCACTTTCTCGCGCTCCTTCCTCTCTGGTTTGCGCCTGCTGCCGCAAAAGCTTTTGTCTTCACAGCCATCGCACGCAGGACAGCCATTCTTCGTGGTTGACGCTGCAATTCTTCTCGAGGGCACGGCGCGTAAGGTAGCTTCGCGGCTTGATGCCTCAGTCGCCGAGTTTGTCGCCGCACCAAAAAACATACTTATCATTCCGCCTGCAAGCGAAGCTTGAAAGGCCAAAGTGCACAGCGAGACGCGGCGCCATTGTAGTCATTCCCCAATCAGAGTTTGCTTCTGTAGGGTCTTAGCGGATTCATATGGTTAGGTTAGCTTTGCCGCCGATTTTCGCCGCACGCCCGGGTGCCCGGGTGCCCGGGGGTGCCCGGGTGCCCGGGTGCCTGGGTGCCTGGGTGCCCGGGCGCCCGGGTGCCAGGGTGCCTGGGTGCCTGTGTGCCCGTGTGCCTGGGTGCCCAGGTGCCCGGGTGCCCAGGTGCCCGGTAACTCTATATAGCCCGATATCCCTATAGCCCTGTAGCCCTATAGCCCTAATAGCCCTATAGCCTTATAGCCTTATAGTCCTATAGCCCTATAGCCGTAGAGGCCTATAGCCCTACAGCCCCATAACCCTATAGCCCAATAGCCCTATAGCCCTATGGCCCTGTAGCCCTATAGCCCCATAGCCTTCTAGCCCTATAGCCTTATAGCCCCATAGCCCTAAAGTCATAAAAAGATGATGATTGGGTTTTTCTCCGGTATCATGTGTATGTGTATATACATGTGTACACAGGTAACATACAGGTCTAAGATCACGTTTTCTCTCCCTCTCTCTCTCTCCCCCTCCCTGTATAGGTATATACATTTAGACGAAGGGATCTCTCTTCTGTCAATTCGTTCCTCATTGGCTTTCTCACTGTCTCTGCCTGTATCACCTCTGTCTCTCAGCCTTTTGTTTCCCCTCCCACCGCCCTCCCCTCTCTCGCTTCGTACCCAACCTCGTGCATCAGATTGCTCTGCCTCTGCTTCTCTCTCTCTCTCTCTCTCTCTGTCTATCTCGTTCCCTCTGTCTCTCTCTCTCTCTGCCCTGGGCTTGCATGGTTGTGCAGTGCATGGTTAATTCAGTGTTTTTTGCTTCTCCGTCCGACCAGCGGATCTCGCGAGCGCCCAGAAATGCGCACTATGACCGCCACTTCTCGTGTCTCTACCCCACCCACCCACACCCACCTCCCCCCCATCCGTGCAGGAGAGGAGGGGGTGACATGGGGAGGAGGAGCGACCAGTTAGCGCTGCTGGCGGCCCTTGAGAAGTAGAGCGGCAACGCAAGCGGTCGGGTACATGTTTTTTCCCTCCGCTCCTGAAGACTGGCGGGCCGGTCTTGCCTGGGAGGGCACCCGCCGCCGAATTGGGGGCGGCGCTCGTGCGCCTGCGCCTGTCTCTTCCGCGCGATCGCTGGCGGGGAACGGGAGAGGCAGACGCGAGAGGGGTGGCGGAGGGAGTGGAGGGCGAGGGGGGTGGCGGAGGTCGGAAGGGGGAGGGAGGCAGGGAAGTGGAGGGAGTGGCGAGGCAGCGCGCGCGAGAGGGCAGTTGTCCAGGTCACTTGCATACACACGCTCGAGCCGGCCCGAGCGGCCGCGAAATCACAAACAGCGGCAACATGATTACAGATGCCGTTGACTCCCTGAAGAAGTACATGGCTGCGAACAGCCCCGAAGGCTCAAGTGTTCCGTGTTCCGTTGCATTCATCCCGATGTGCACTCGCCAGCAGGACGCCGGAAGACCCCAGCTAACCGATAGCGGTGCTCCCTACCTGACCGCCGCCGACGCCTTGGAATTGGTACGCGATGTCTTCATGAGCGACAGCAGGACTCAGAGGGATTAAGAGAAAGAGGAGGAGGACGAGGACGAGGAGGAGGAGGAGGACCCGACGGGTAGACGGAGGGACATGCAGACTGACGGGCAACCATACAATACAAGAGAGAGGGATTGAGGAATAGAGAGAGAGAGAGACACAGAGAGCAGGGAGAGTGAGGCACATACGATGTATCTGTATAATTATATAGATCGAGCAAGAGAGCGTGTATGAGAAAGAGAGAGAGAGAGGAACAAACATATTGATATCTCTTTATATATATATATATACACACGAAAACAAGATTGTATTGGCGCTTCGCATCGTGCACGTTGGTCCCATCGAGCCTTGCATCTGTTGGAACTTGGCGCCATCCCCTTTGGCCTTTGAATTTTGGCCGTTTCCCATCCAGTCCCCTCACCCGTTCCTATTTGCTCCTGCCCTGGCTTTACAGATCCGTGCGCCACCCGAATTTCTCTTGGGGTGCGTTTGGATTCAAATTTTAAGGCGGGCCGGATCACGTCGCGCGAGAACGCCACCTGCAGGCTCCGAAAGAACGTCGAACCAAAGTCGCGTGCCGTCTTCGTGCGTTGGAGGATGTCTTGTTTGGGGGCTGACCGCGATTGTGTCTCCAGCCGGTTGGCACATGATTTGCAGGCCCGATTGGTTTGCCGGGGTTGCGTTTTGGAGAACAACTCTGCAGGCAGGGTATCGCCACAATCCGAGCAAGCGGGTACAGACATGAAGGAAGTGGCGCAGGCAGGAGCTTAAAACATGTACGCCAACGGCTACGGATGCATGGGTACGTACACGGTTGAAGATAATGCTCCCGTGAATGACGCGGAAGGCCCTCGTGTGGCGCACACATTGACCCGCTCGTGGCCCAGATTTCCCGCGCGCGCAATGCGAAGCAATGGCAAGCCACGCGCAGGAATTCCGCACACTGCAACGCACTGTCAAACAACGCCGCGTAGTACCAAGCAGTGCAGTGTGAGGTAATATGCGATGTCTTTGGGAATCTACCGAATCCCGGGTTCGGACCGCCGGGCGCGCCTCGGATTTCAATGGACTTTTGTTGCGAACCCGGGATTCGGGTCAATTTTGTGAATTTGGTATGAGACGCCTTTTCGGAAGACGCACGATCGTGCAAAGGAATGACGTTCGGGTTCTTTCATGTGACCACTGCACGGGCTCGCCCGTGGCCCAAGTCGCCCAGTCGCACAATGCAAGGCAATGGAAGCAACGCCTCATCGTTTCTCATTGCGAACCATCTTCCTTCTGCGAACCATCTTCCTTCTGCCGCAAGTTTGTCTGCGGAGGCTCCTCATTGGAGAACCTCTCGGGGGCCCCGCGAATGCTCTCAAGGGCTTTGGGGACCTCTGAAGGCCTCCTGGGCGCCTCTTTGGGCCGTCTTGGGGGTCCTCCTGAAGCCCGTGCGGGCCGTTTCGGGACATTCTTGGGGAATGTGGGCGCTCTTGGAGACCTCCGATGGCCCTCGTGGGTCTCTCCTGGTAGGTTTGGGGGGCCTTGCGGTTTTTTGGGGGGCCGTTTTGGGGCTGTTTTGGGATCCTCTTAGCCGGACTGGAAGTCCTCTTGGGGGCCTTTTGGGCCGCCTTCTGGCGATTTTGCAAGCTTCTCGTCTTTGGGGCCTCTTGGGCCGTCTTGGTGGCCTCTTTAGCCGTCAGGAGGCCGTGTTGCGCTGCTGCGGGGTTGTCCTGGAAAACTATTGCTCTCTTGAAGACTTCCCATGGCCCTCGTGAGTCTCTTTCTTAGGAGCCTTTGGAGGCTTCGTGAGTTTTGTTTTGGGGGGGGGGCGTCTTGGGGCTGTTTTGGGGTCCTCTTGGTTCGGCTCGAAGCCCTCTTGAGGGCTCTCTGGGTCGCCTTAGGGCGATTTCGCAGACTTTTTGGGCCGTCTTGGACGCTGCCACGACACAAACAGCGACGATGCTAAACGAACACGTTTTCCTTCTTGGGAAATGGGGCGATGTGTGCCTCTTGGGGGCTCTCCTTAAAGCCTCTTGGGATGTTTTTGGGGCCCCTTGGGCAGCCTTGGGGGCCTCTTGGGCCGTCTTGAGGCCGTCTTGCGTTGCCGTGGGGCTCTCCTAAGGAAAGGGGGCCCTCTTGGAGACCTCCCATGACCCTCGTAGGTCTCGCTTGGGATCCTTTGGGGGCCTCGTGAGCTTCTTTGGGCCGTCTTGGGGCTGTCTTGGGCGCTTGGAGGGGGGGGTGTCGGAACCGAACTCCCCCCCCTAGATTGAAGGGGGGGCGGTTCGAACACTCCCCCCCCTGACTGGCGGTTGTGGTGTGGTGATTAGTGGTGGTGGTGGTGGCGGTGGTGGTAGGGTAGGGCAGGGTGTGGTGGTGGAAGTGTGATTGTGGCGGTGGTGGTGCTGGTGGTGGTGGTATGGTGGTTTGTGGTGGTTGTGGTGGTTGTGGTGGTGGTGGTTGTGTGGTGGTTTGTAGTGGTGGTGGTGGTGGTGTGGTTGATTATGGTGGTGGTGGTGGTGTAGTGGTTTGTGGTGGTGATTGTGGTGGTGGCGGGCTGTGACGGTGGTAGTAGTGGTGATGATTGTGGCGGTGGTGGTCGGTGGTGGTGCTGGTGGTGGCGGTGGGTTATGGTGATGGTGGTGGTGGTGGTGGCGGTGGTGGTGGTTTGTGGTTTGTGGTGGTGGGTTTTGGTTGTGGTGGTGGTGGTAGTGGTTTTAGCGTGGTGGTTTGTGGTGGTGGACAACGCGGTGGTGATGGGCTGTGGTGGTGCTGGTGGTGGTGGTGGTTGTGGTGGTTGTGGTGGTGGTGGACAAAGCGGTGGTGGTGGGCTGTGGTGGTGCTGGAAGTGGTGGTTGTGGTGCTGATGGTGGTGGTGGATGGTGGGTGGTGGGTGGTGGGTGGTGGGTGGTGGGTGGTGGGTGGTGGGTGGTGGGTGGTGGGTGGTGGGTGGTGGTGGTGGTGGTGGTGGTGGTGGTGGCGGTGGTGGTTGTGATGGTGGTGGTGTGGTGGTTTGTGGTGGTGGTGATGATTATGGTGGGTTGTGGTGGTGGTGGTGGTGGTGGCGGTGGGGGTGGCAATGATGGTGGTGGTGGTTGTGGTGTAGTGGATTGTGGTGGTGGCGGTGGTTGTGGTGGGTTGCGGTGGGTTGTGGTGGGTTGTGCTGGTGTTGGTGGCGGTTGTGGTGGTGGCGGTGGTGGTGTAGTGGTTGGTGGTGGTGGTTGTGGTGGTGGTAGGTTGTGGTGGTGGCGGTGGTGGTGATGGTGGTGGTGTGGTGGTTTGTGGTGGTGGTGGTGGTGGTGTGGCCTTCGGTTCTTCCCATGGGGTCTTCCCATGGGGTCTCGTCCGATGGGTCTCGGGGGCGTCTGAGGAGCATTTGTGAAGCCTCCTGGGCGCCTCTTTGGGCGTCTCTTGGACCTTCCGCAGGGCCTCCCGGTGGCTTTTGGGGGGCGAGGGCTCGATATGGCGATTCATGCTCCCCTCTGCGGCCTGTGGGCCCTCTCTGGTCATCGTCGCTGCGTCTCCGCCGTCGGCGCTGCCGGCCGCCGCCAGCGCCGGCGCCGGCGCGAGGGGGGGGGTTCGGGGAGGGGGGTTAGGGGGGAGGGAAGCCCCCCTGGCTCTGATCGACGGCGCCGAATGTTGGAGGGGGGGGATCCCCCCCCCGTTCGAAACGCGCCGCCGAATGTTCCCAAGGCAAGCGCCCGTGAAACGCGTTCTCTCCTGTCTTGGGATCCTCTTGGCCCGTGTTGGACGCTGCCACGACACAAAAAGTGAAGATGCTAAAAGTACGTCGTCCTTTGGGTATGGGACGATTTCTTGCCTCTTGGGGGCTCTCCTGAAGGCCTCTTGGGCCGACCTGGGGCCTCTTGGGCAGTCTTGAAATCGTCTTGCGCAGCCGTGAGGCTGTCCTGCGCCTTTCCGACCACTTCTCTGATCGCTTTGAGCTTGATGGCAAGGCCCAGCAAGGAGCCTTGGGAGTCGCGGCAGGGCTGGGGGGCCTCTTCCAAGGGCGTCCAGGGGGCCCCAAAGCTCCAGACCCCGGGGCCGTTTTTTTCTGGAGGGCGTTTTTTCCCGCCCCCCCCGGCGTATACACATATAGGAAGAGGAACACACATATACGTATATACACACATACATATGTATATGTGTATATAAGTACACGCGCCCATTCCATAAACTTCCCCGCGCATGTGTCCACCGCCCTTGATATTTTCAGTCCAACTATAGAATGCTGTTTGCCGAAGTGTGTGTGTGTGATGCCATTGCAGCACTGAGCGTTATGATCCATGAAACTCATAGTATTTGGCAGTTCCGATTCGCATTGCTGTTTCACCAGCACAACGAAGGATGATCATTCAATTCTGTGAGT